CAACACTACCTACGATCAGCAACTAATAACTGTTTCTTAACATATAAGCATTTATCATTATGTTTTTCTCAGTTACTTGACAAGACCCACTTATAATTTATTTCTATAATAATAAACGTATTTATGAATACTACTTGTCACCACAAATTTTTCAATCTCCTTTTATTTTTCTCATGAGATCTGTATGAATATTAATATAAGGTAAAATGTTTGTAAGCTATATAATAAAGTAGCTAAATCATAAGATGTATGCTTAAACACCTCACTGAGGTCAACGATAGTCTTAAAAAAAGGGAGGGGGTGAAAAGTGAATACTTTTTTTAACCTGGAAAACCGTTTTTTTTAAATTTTTAGTTTTTTTTTTCTCCGTCACAGAATCGTTTACTCCTATAATCCCACTATTTGTTCATACTCACAAATTTTCACCAATGATGGCTATAGTTTTATAATGGAAAGATTTTTAAGTGACGACTTGCATACAAAAATGTATCCTTTATTTTTCTACAGTAAAATTTAGAGCCCCTTTAAAGAGACAAGATGTGAAATCAATTTTAACAGAAATAAAATTAAGTATCTTTCATATAAGAATATTTAAAAAAGGAATAAAGCCATGAAAGGGGATACTACGTTATACATTTTAAAATAAGTTACTATGCAATAGTATTGAGAAAAAAAGTTTGAATAGAAATGCAAAAAGAAATTACAATTGTAACATAATTTCATAGAAAGGGATCAATGCCACGTTCCAAAATGATAGTATGTCACATGTGCCAACTTCAGTAATACATTTACAATAATAATTTCAAAAAATAATACAGGTAATCTCTCTTTTGCTTATGCTATTTAACAAATTTCCTTGTACTTTTCTTCTTCGAAAATGAGGAAAATTTTTTACTACGCCGTATAGTGTTAATAGCACCTAGTAATTTCAGTGTAAAAGTGTGTATTAAATAATAATAAGTCTAAATACGTTTGTAAAGGTGATATTGGTACAGATATTGCATAGATTTATTCATAAGAAAACTATACATTGTATTTGACATTTATAACCTATCTGTTACGGCAAAAAAAGAAGTTACAAAAAAGCTATTCAACACTAAGCTATGTACTTAAAGTAAGACTAGGGCAAAAAGTGTCATAGGTAAAGTAAGAAATTTAAAGCCACTATTAATTGACAATACTTGTAAAACACAGATCTTTGACAGAAATAATGTTTTTGGATAATCATATAGATCATTAATAAAATAGTAAAAAAAAATTTTTTTTGTCAATTGGTTAATCAGAAAAATTTAATATACAGATAGGGCCAATATTACAATAAAATAAGTTAACGTAACTGTCAGTTTTTTTTTACCTTGTGCTTGCAGAATAAGCTTTATGCGTACCAAAGGTAGCTTGGGCGATTTTTATCAGCTTGATAAAAATCTCTAAAATACTGAAATTCTGTAAATAAGGTATGCCAAATTTATTTGCGATAAAAAAATACTGGGGTCAAAGACTTAATTTTTTCGCGAATCACTACTATAAATTCACTAATTTAATACCTACTCTTGTAGACAGTGGTCACAAAATTGATTATATCTTTGGAAATCTTTGATTACCATCAGAAATTTGAAATAGTTTTTGGGTATTTTTTTACAACAAGTTTATCTATTTCTTAAAAATATAGGGTCCACGACTTAACTTAAGAGAAAATCAGAAAAAAAGTAATAAATATTAATCTTGTTTGCCTCGTCAACATCTTTTAATTTTCGCAGCTATAATTTCACGGTAGTTTCCTGGCAATTTCTTTATCTTGTACATCGGTTTTATCGAAATAATAATACTAATTTTTTTATATTATTAAAAAATTTACAGTCGAAAAGCGTTGACTTTTTAGGAGCCCTTATGGCACTCTGTCCTAGGTACGGTACCCACCGCCCAAGCTACTGTGGTTATACTTGTATTATTTGTCAGATAATAACATCAAGTATTAATCCCATTACAATAGACTAAATAATTACTTGATAAAGGATTTTTTAACAACTGGCTGTATAACTTTTTTTTTTTTTTTTTAATTATACTGCTTGACGTTCGGATCTTTTAATAAGGGCACTACTATGGGGACTTAGCACTTAGGAAAGGGAGAAGGAAAGGGATGGGAGGCCTCCCATTACTGAGAAAGGGGTAGGGGAAATTAGACAATTTTTACTGCAAGAAGGTCGCCTTAGCCCTCCTCGAGGAGCATTGCATGGTGAACAAGCACATATGAAAAAACACAGAGATACTTGCGCGAAAAGTCGCACTGGCAGGGAATTGAACCACGGTCTTCCGATCCACGACCTAGCCAACCGAGCCACCGCGCGCTCAATAACTGACTGTATGACTGAGGGCAAGTGGTTTAACATAAAGCTTTACGTACATCTTAACGAGTCTCTATGCTTAAGCTAATTCAAAAAGTAAAAAAAAGTAAATTTAAGCTTCTGTCTGATATCATTACTTTCTTACTTAATAGACTCTTTGACAAGTTTTATTATGTACAATGGATTAAGAGTGATGAATGATTAGTTCCAATAATATGATTTCCTTTTACACCTAGTACAAATAATAAGTACCTTACAAAAGCTATTTTCAAAGAGATAATAATGTAAAACTGGTCACCAAGGTGTAAGAGGTAAGCTCACCTTGATAGTGACTGGTTATCCAACAAAGTGATTTGATTTTCAAGACTTTTTTCTGAGAACTGACCATGTTCAGTTAGAAGCAAGTAAAACTTAATACTTCATGTTAAAAAATATTAAAAAATTTATGCTTCTGAAGACACTCAAGTATTGTTAAGCTGTAGTAATGTTTATTTTTAAATATTTCCGTAAGGTACAAGTATGTCCTTGGCAAAAGTTGTTCAAGTATTACAAAAAACATTTTTTAAACTTTATCAGATCATACCGAGTAACGTGAATTACTCGAGTAACTGGAGAATAGCTTTATTAGTGTGAAAAATAGATACGCTTGTCACAAGGATTTGAGGATTTATCTAAAAGACAGCTATTACATTTTCCACTATTCACACTGGCCCTTCCGCTTTATTCTGTATACGTGAATGATATGTGAATACACATCATACGCAAAAATTCGATTCTGTGACACCAGCGTCTGTGTCTAAGGTCGTTGGAACTCTCACACTGATGAATTACATCAACAATATAAACTGTGCTTAAATCCCTTTTATTTTATTTCTTTTCTTTAACCTTGCTGTATATATACTAAGCAAACGCCAATGTAACACGTCTGTGCATCTAATAAATTGATCATAGAAAATGTTGTGTATGCCATTTTCTGCCTGAATCCCGATGGACTACTGATTAACTATTCATACGTTATTAAAAATTAAAGGTTTGTTTGATTAAAAAGTTCTTAACTAAAAATTTGTGTAAACAAGTAATATTTTTATTACTGTACTTCGAAAACTAAAACAGTGTGATCTGAAATGCGTAACATCAATATGTTTCGCAAACGCGCTCCTTTTACTCAAGTTTCATAAATCAAAGTACAGTTTTTGTACACTCTTCACAGAATATTTTATCAAAATAAGAAGAAGAGTAGATGCACATTTTTGGCACTTTAAAGAATAAAACGCTCGCTTACTCAGCAAGATTAATTAGGAACTCAAGGTGAAACGTAAAAAATCAGACGTTGAACCAAAAGGCGTGATCTGATTTTTAACTATTTATCTCAGATTTCAATGAATCTTGCCAAAATCAAGCAATATTTATTCCTTATAGATTGAAGAATGTACATTTGCTCTTTTTTCCAAAATTTATGATGTAGGGTAAATAACTGATACAAATAACATATATCACTTTACAGAACTAGGCACAAGATATTACTTCGCGTAAATGAGTTTCCTACATAATAGATAGACAAATATTTCACATAGCTTAAAATAGTCAACGAATTTGGAACATTTATATGTCAGAGAAACAGTGGACACACATTTCTGAAATCCATAAGGAATAAATATTACTTGATCTTGGCAAGATTAACTAAAATATAAAAATGGAAAGTAAAAATCAGATTACACCTTATGAATCCAACATCTGATTTTTTTCTTTTTGCCTTAAATTCTAAATTAATTTTTGTATGTGTGGGTTTAATTTATTCTTTGAAATGTCAAGAATGTGAGATTACTCCTATTTTTCTGGTAAAATAGCTAGCTGCTCAATAAATAATGTTATAAAGTCATACAATTAAAGTAACCTGATCGATAAGGTAAAAAATTTGAACTATCTAATAACTGCCCTGAAGGCTCTGACAACATTGAAGAAATATATAATGGTATCACTAATAAATCAAAATTAATGCCATACTTACTATATACAGCAATTACGATCCATATACCATTGACAGTTAGCAATAGTTTATACACTAGAAAACTCTTATGACTTCACCAGCTTTCTAAAGCATTAGGTAGAAAAAGATTTTTGGATTATCGTTAATTTAAAATTCTTACGTTCTGCAAAACAGTTACTTTTCATCAAGTACTAACTTCTAAAAGCTTACACAGATGTTGTTAATGTAAAATTGTGTACGCATACATTATTTGGTACTACGTATGCCTCTTCCTAGACTTTTCAGATTATACCTTACTAATCTCTTATTTTCTACTTCCCATAGTCTCCTTAAGTACTCTGGTTCTTAGCGACACATTTAATGCGAAAATCCCCTTACAAAACTCTTCTCTTATCCTACTGGGTATTTTTTGTAGAGCGCAGCGATAATCTCTAGCACAACCTGACTAATATAAGTTTAGTTAAAAGATATTTTCTATTGACTATCTTATTTACCTGACTGACTGAATTTAGTAAATGACTTTAATAATAAGCTTGTCAGCTATGTTTTCAGCTACTACGTAGCTATAAAAGCTATTTTAATGGATAGGTCTAAATATTTAATCCTAGTAAAGAAGTCTCTATGTACTAACATACGAGTTTACCTATGTAATACATATTGACAATTCTAACCTCGGAGCTTTTGATAGAAGAAAATTACATTTTTTGTCATCTTCACAAATCATTACGCTTATTTCAGCTTGGTTTATAATAAATACACATGAATCTTGTCCCAATGTATCATGCAGAGGTACGAGCACTATAGAGTATGTGTAGCAAGCTTGTTCAGTTAGTATCCATTCTGGATTATTCTGACTATAAATTCCAATTAAAGTTTGAGAAGAAGGTTGTATTCCATGTAAAATAAGTCCTGATCCAAAATTTTTTGCTCTCAACAAGGTTTCGTTATAGTGCAACCATTGATAACTTTTTATTTTATCATCTCTCCAACCAAGACATGGACCGTTATCTGCAATAAAAACAACAGGTGCCTTTAGATTCTTAAGATTTAATAAGTTTGTGATACTTATTTTTTTTTTATATTACCATGCTTAGAAAAAAACTCTTAATCACCCTATAATTTTAAAAAATGACACTGCTATTCACCTAGTTTGAAATACATAATAAACACTATTTATTTACTGGTATATGATAAATAACTCCTATAATAATATTCAGATTAAAAAAGTAATTAAAAATCGACTGCCATCTTTAAAAAAATCTCATTTTGATTATTATTTAAAGTTATTCAAAAATTCTGACTGCATGTTAAGAGATGCTTATACGTATTTTAAATCAATCCGAATACTTACAAAAATAAGTATCTTACGATAAATTTGATTAGTTACAAATTAAGTTTGCAAATATCTCACTCAAGTTTTTTCTTCTATTTGTCAAAATAAGAACCTAAAGAACAATATTAAAAAATAAAGCAAGTTACCTGATGACCGAATAACGAACTAAATATATTTGTTAATCCATTTTATTTCTGCATATTATTGCATTACCATCGGCATAACTGCTATATTGACTTGACCATGTTGAAACTTAAATTTTTAACATGATAATCAGCTAACTCTGGAACATGTAATTAAAAGGCTTTTTTATAAAAAACTAATGATCCTTGCAAAGAAAAATAAAATACTAAGAAGTGTGCATCTTTAAAGCCCTCCAATGACAATACCGATCAGCATTGCGGACAAAAACGGCTTAAAAGAAGATGTCTTTAGCTTAAAAATGTAACAAAAAATTCTATTTGTACCATTTGCACACTTAGAAAAGTTGTGTAAGAAAAAGTGATGCAACTATAATAAAAATTGCTGTTTGTTATCGAAAAGCTGAGACATACTCGTAATAGTATAAAAATTAGTATGATATATAATTAACTTAGAATTTCCTATTCAATGTAGTGATTTTCACGTTGATCTAAAATGATTCTTGTATTAAAATGAGAAAAAAGTATGTAGTTATAACAAATCACGACATTTTTCGCCGGGATTTGAATCCATGACTCCTCAAGAGTTTCTCCGACTACGAAGCTAGCACGCTAACCACTCTTTATATTGTTTTTTTTATGAAAATGAGAAAATAGCATAACAAGATTTTGAGCAATAAAATACTTATTCGTAAATTAGTAGTACCATCGGATGTATCAGAACTGCTTTCAGTAATCTTCTCCATTAAATCCATGCGTTTCGAGACTCTGTACAGTCTGTTTCTGGAATATTTATTTAGTGGACGTTTACGACTCATATCTCCAAATCCTGTGCTTTCTTAATTTTTCGATGATCTGTTTTTCTACAGTACGTAGCAAATTTCTCCGTAATACACTTAATTCAAAATGGGGAAATTTGTGGTATGCTTGCGAGGTGTTAAAAAAAAAGGTAAGTTCAAGTATCAAGGAGTTAAACAGTATAAGTAGCTTTAACGTAGCAAGTTTGTACGAATTCATGAAAGTGCAGTTTGATGCGTATGCGAATAATTGAAATTCTGTGCGTATTAGATGTCAAAGGATAAATTACCCCGATTAGTAATGAGCCTACAAAATATAACCCTTTTTTCTCGATCGATTGGAGTTAATCGCATTTATCGGTTGCATACGTTTGCGTACGCACGACTTAAGTTTCACGTTCAAATAAATGTATCATATTCGTTTCATTCATTGTCGGCATATCATAGTTTTTAACCTACATTTGAAAAAATTGAATAATATGTCGTTAAGCTCTAATTACTTTTAACGTCTGACTCAAAGAAATGTACTTAACTTAAAAAAAAAAAAAAAAAAAAGATACATGAATGTATATCTAACTGAGCGCTCGGTGGCTCAGCCGGCTAGGCTGTGGGTTGACAACGCGAGACCATGATTCGATTTCCGGCCAGTGCGAAATGTCGAGCAAGTACCTCTGTGATTTTTACGTGTGCTATTTCACTACACAGTGCTCTTCGTGAAGAGGATGGGTGACTTTCTCGCAGCAAAATTGCCTATTCACCCCCACTCCCCTCCCTTTACTAGTAGGCCTCTCATCCCTCTTCCCTTCCCCTTGCCCAAGTGCTCAGTGTCCAGAGTAGCACCCTTATTAGGAGCCGGACGTATAGCACTATTCGCTCTGTGCATCAGGTTGGAGGGGATAAAAAAAACGACTGCAACGCTGTAGGTGAGCAAAGTTGGCGAACCCGTACCCCCATGAATCGTACAGTAAGCGTTGTCTTATATATGAGAAAAGATATTATTTCATTTAAAGTAATTAGTTGAGAAATCGAAGGCGGAAAAAAAAATCTTATTTAGCCAAACTGNATAGTATTAGTAGGACTTCACCCCCCTGCTGGCTCCATACACCAACCCCCCAATTTTAAATAAGGATGCTTAGACTCTAACAAAACTCTTGGTGGTTTCCCTTGGGCTCGATTGGTCAAAGTATTTTACGATTTATTTGTAAGATTTTTATTATCATTATAATTGGTTACGACAGTAAAAACTATTTACGTTTACACATATTATACGTTACGATTTTTACCATGCACTAGAAGTATAAAAAGAGGCCATAAGCAAAAAACTGGATATAAAGTATTCATACCGAAAATAATACTAAACACAGGAAACATATCCTCCTTTCCATTTAATTTGTACATAAAACAACTATCTTAAGTTTGGCATTTACTAAGACTATAAATAAATCGGAAGGTCAAAGTTTTGATAATGTTAGTCTATACTTAAAGAAGCCTTTGTTCTCTTAAGGTCAATTGTATGGAGCTTTATCAAGATGCAAAAATAAAAATGGCATTTTTTTACAAATGTGCTGGGGCAAAGGGGGATTGAATGTGGGGCTAGCATATTTTAAACTATGTCAGAATCACGTACAAAACTTTCAACAATTCTCGTGAGTAGATATCTTTATTTCGGTTATTTTGATAAGTCACAGTACTTTGACAGTTACTTGGAGGTTATGGACTGTTTCATGCATTCTATCCGTATGATGCACCAATAAGAATTCTGGAATTATTCGTATGATAGTCTGTACTTTTCAGACAAGCAGCTACACGCAGTTTCTTAAAACAGATTTTCTTACGTTGCTCAGCTCCAGATGTAAAAGACGTCTTTCCAGATATTCTCTTTATAAGTAAGGTTATTAATGTTTAATAAATTTCTGCTATCCAGGGCATCTAAAAAAAGTTGTCATGTTAAGTGGATTACATCGTTAGACTCCAACTACTTAAAAACACCTTACTTTTAGAACACTTCATGACAGGATTAGTAACTTTTCATTGGAACTCTAATTTTTTATTATCACGCACTTTTTGTACGTACGGCAGCAACAACTTGAAAAAATAAAAATCATCACTTTGATTTGAATGTTAGTAAAATTTGACCAATCTCTTCCTTTTAAATCTATTAAATAGTAATTCTCTTTAAAAAAATGTAAAAAACTCAGAATGTTCGATTAAAAACTTGGGTGGTGTAAAACTTCTGGCTCCTTATCGTTTTTTCTAAAAGTATTTTCTTATGATTACTATGATAATAATTTTCTGTTTTTCTACACTTATTCCTCACTTGTTTTTCTGAAAAAAGTTGATGTTTTGTAACGTGCACGTAGCTATTTCCCTTCAAACTAAGTACTTTTTTTTTTGGTTTGAGACATGCATGTTATTTAACTTTCCATCACTTTACATTCTCACAAATATAACAAATATTTTACTTTACATTTAAAGAAAATAAACTATGCAGTATTAAATTAAAATGCTAGGTTACTATTTTTTAAAGATGGCTAGCTACTGGAAGCATCTACAAAACTTTAGGGTTTTCTTTTAAAGTAGGCTCAAGTGTTTTGTTTAAAATAGTAATGGAACTTATGCTGCTTTTATGGAGCTTATTTTACAAAGTACACATGCCTAGACTATGTGTGAACACATTTAACACCATCGCTAAGACTTTTTCAATCTAAGGAACTTTTCATGTTATAAGTGCCATGAACGAAAAATAAATTTGAGTAAAGCACCCAAAGAAGTCCGGCTCCCACTTTTTTAGTTGTAAAAGGTATTACTTTGTAGTACTTTAAGCATTAGTAGATGTCAAGTACCGATTTATAACGATTAATGTGAAAGGATATGGACAGTAGAGTGATGGTGGCACTTTTTGAAACTTAAATTTAGGTTTCATGCTAGGTGGTACACTTACAATATCCTCTCCAGATGAATTGCCAGGATTACTAATAATTTTACTATAATGCATTATTGGAGATGCTACGTATACACTCGAAGAAAAATTTATCAAGGCGTATGCATGTGAGGGCTTACCAAAATGGACAGCTACATCTAACAGAAGATTTAGTCGAACCAGAAAAGTTGCCGAATCAGCTTTCAGCATTCTAATACAAAGTTTGAGAATTACTTATAATATTATGAAGCAAGAAATGAAAAGTATTAATCTTAATATAAAATGTAACATATTGCTACATAATATTATAATTGGTACAGAAGAAATTAATGAAAGTGGGAAAAAATACTAATTATGGAAATTCAGATGGTGCGAAAGACAAAAAAAAATGGAGATAGCCATACACTGAACTTGGGAAAAAAAGTCAGAGAAAATAAGCAAAATGTTTCATGAACAAGTAAGAAAATAATACATATAAAACTTACAAAATGCGTACGCTATGTGTAATTCATAACCTATTGCTCATGCTCCCCATGAATACGAATATTTGATGCACTTACGTGTAAAATTTTTATCTTACAGCTTTACATACACTGTCCCAAGTCGAGCTTTGAAGCCAAGTATTTTTGTGATTATTATCATCTTTTTTTCATACAACTAGTGATTTTACCACCTTACTGATAAGTATTTGTTTGAAATAACTGATCTAAATCTATTTTCCCGGCTCTTGCTTTGGTTTAGAAGGAATCTTAAACAAAGAAAATTGTTATGATTACAAGTGAAACGATGAGTAAAAGAGTTAACTAAAGACTAGACTA